TCAATTTACTGTCGAAATTGATGAACGAATCGTAGAGGGATTGGTTGTCTACTGGTTGAGTCAAATCCTAGAGTTTGCGTGCGAGAGCTGAGTTACTTGGGCCAAGCCATGCCTGTCAGCTAATCAGTCCATAAAAGGTGCATCCTCATACCACTTTATTATTATGGTCACCAAAAGAAACATAATGGTACTCGATCGGTTTGCTCCCTATGCTTGCGAATGGCGGTTCATTTTAGATGCGTCAGGACGTCATGTGTGTTGACGACGAAATGCTGCTTCACTGTTTCGAGCACAATTGCGCATATGGCATGTGGCAGACAAAGCGATTTTTCCCGGACGAAGATCTATGGCCAGAATCCGAGATGATGCCCCCACGCGGACAGATGGGCGCTGACTGCAACTGGATCCTCGCGCAGTTCTCCAGCATGGTGCGATATTTGCCAGCATAATGAGGCCTCATAGCGTGCACTAAGTTGCTGAATCAAAATATTTAAATGATACAGTGGTACCCGATCAAAGATCCCATCCATGTAGTGATAACACGTGCTCAGTGGCTGATCCACAAATCATTGAAGTGGCAGCTTTTGGAATCCAATTCATACTACACAGGCTGTATGGAATACTGCAAAAGCTGATTTGCCAGAATGCACAGACTTAATGAATCGAGGAAAGATCTTCACAATATTTCATCACCCTGCCTCCTTCAACTGTTATCAGCCTCTTCAATTATGTCGAATCCGAATGGATTTCAGCCCTCATAAAAACAAAGCCGATACCCTGGCGTGAGAGATCCTGGAACTGTCCAGGTCCAGTATTTAAATGCATCCCGATTTGTGGGAAATACATTTGATCAAAAATCTGAGTTCCGTTCATTTTCAGGTTTCGGGGCCACAAGCACCACCTGGACCACAAGAGGCCGGATCTCAACAGTACTTCTAAATCGAAGGATGCGTTGCCCGTGGGTGATCTCGAAAGTCACAAAGAACTTTTTGCTGGCGATTTCTATTTGTCAAATTGTAGTCTATTGAAAAATTTTATTGGACCGCAAAATCCCGTTTAAAGTATGTGCAGTACAAATGAATCAAATATTTGACATTTTTTGAAAACTTGTGCAGTGTGGATGAATTTCACTTGATTTACACTAACAATTGTCCAAATGGTATCGGAAGGAGAAGCAGTTCATGAAAAGGTCCCAAATGAAAGAGACTCGGTCTGTGCAGTGATATTAAGTGAGATCCAGCAGATGCAATCGCACCAGATGAGAAGTTCAATTCATGGATTGTTACCAGGTGAGTGAGTGGTACCAGATATGCGGGATATCCATTCAAGAAACGGTGCGCAATGGGTTTTGAGAAGCCATTTGGACCAAGCAATGAAGCGCAAATGTGTATTGCAGCCTTGTGTGTAAGAATACGGCTAAATTACAGCGACCATCAAATGGTTAATAGTTAAAGATGCGCCCGAGAAACCTATGTACTGAGTGAAATGAGTTGTAGGTCACCGCTCCCTGCGACATGCAAGAACACGCAAAATGACGAGCAAACATCACGTGTCTTTTACAAACACTGCCAGTGCTTAACTGATTGCAACAGCAAGTTCTTAAAGAAAATGCTTGAAAAATTAAGTTTTTCACCGATGCTGCACAGTGATGAGGCCAGGCTGATGTCTGTTGCTACAAATTCTCTCATTCTGTCCAAGTACGAACCCACAGGAGCGTACACGTAAATGTAATGTTGAAGAAATGCACGTTTTTTAGCGGAGAAAATGCTTTTTTAGTTTAATTCTTCACCCAGAATCTGTAAAAGCTCCGAAAATGATTCTGGTTGTTAAACTGTTCGGTAGAAGCAAATCCACTTTGAACTGAACTGGCAAATTTGTCAAGTTTGAACTGCACATCTCAACTGTGTTTTATTACACAAAAAAAGCAACAAGTATTCGAATGAGCTGATTCGAATTATCCGGAGATACTTTACAGAAAATAGTTTCAGATGGTAGTTTTATCAAATGTAATCATAAGCTCTTCACCAGGATATTTACGCGGCGAACCCTTTCTTATCAGAAAACCTACGCTCGCTCTCGGATGGTTTATGGTGTATATCGTGACATACGGTAAGGGAACCCTGAAAAAAAAAACATACGTCTGCAGCTTGTGATAATAATGAATCCTCATTTTAAACTTATAGCTTTAAACTTATAAGTGGTAGCGCATACAGACAGCACACCGGAAGATGGTGGATGCTAAATGAAGGTATCCACCACTTTGAAAAC